TTAGAGGAGTCCAGGAGTCTCTAGGGGTCAGGTGCCCCAGGCTCAGGCCTGGGGACATGCTCAGCCTGCCTATCTGTGAGACAGGTGTAAGCCTGTGCACTGGGTGTGGAGTTGGGCCCTCTGGGTTTGTTCATTTTCAGAAGAAGCTGTGGGCTGAGGTGGGATCAAGTGTGTGGGTTGGGTGGGACCTTCGGGCTGTGTGGACGGCTTCTGAGGCTGGGGGGCTTTGTTCCATCCCTCAGTGACTAGAAGGGCTCCCTACCTCTCTCATTCCCCTCCCAGACCCACTGGAGGGGGCCGTACTGCAAAGTGGGCACCAACTGATGTGTCCCCCACCCCGCATCACCCTCCTAGCCCGGCTCATGCCCATGCTCTGTGGTTTTGGACTTGTGTGGTCTCACTGCTCTCCACTTCTATAAAATGGAGCACCTGTGAAGGTTGGCTGTGTGTCTGGAAAGTGCCTGGTGTCTGTTAAAATAGCACTCAAACTCTTAGAAGCGGGAGCATTGTGGTCTTATTAAGTGTTTACCTGCTGTCCTTGGTGGAGGCAAAGAGACCAGTTCTCAGGAGGTAGAGACAGTTAGGGGCTTTGGAGTGTGTCCTGAGTCCCTGATCCAGTATATATGTGGCACCTACTCTGTGCTGGGAACCAGGATTGGCTCTGTCCTAACAGCTCAAAATCTGGTGCTAAAGAGTCTTGTCAGCCCCATAATAAAGAGAGATCTTGGGATCTCCTGGAGTCCTGTGTACAAACTCTGGAAAAACAAGGCATCCTGTTGCCCTCAATCTCTTTTTTCTTCTTCCATCTCCTTCTCTCTTTTATAACCTAAGGATCATTTTTACTTATTTATTTTTAAAAGTACTCTCTGTGCTCAATGTGGGGCTTGAACTCATGACCTCTGAGATCAAGAGTCTCATGCTCTACTGATTGAGCCAGGCAGGCGCCCTCTTCCTCCATGTCTTTTAAATTTCACCATGACCCTATGAAGTGAGGCAGTAGCCCCCCATTTTACAGGTGGGTAAACAGGCTTTGGGAGATGAAGTGCTTAAGCATGGGGTTCCATGGCTAGTAAATGGCCGGGCTGGTTTGTACTTGAACACAGTGCAGGAGCTCCCTCTGAAGGACTGAGGAAGCCTGAGAGGGGAGAGGTGTTTCTGATGGGAACAGCCTGGCGATGGTCTGTTCAGAGCCAAGGGCAGGGGTGGCAGGCTGGTCAGAGTGAGGTGTATGGATAGAAGCAGTGGGGCTGGGTGAAGGCCCTGGGCTGCTTCAATACTTGGCTGCACAGAGAAGGATGAGCGCCTTGGCATCCTTGCTGAGGGTCGCTTCTTCCCTCCTGTCCTCCTCTTGGGGTGTGGGAGAAATCCCATGTGGGCTTTCCCACCTCTCACTGGAAATGTTGAGTGGCATGTATGTGAGTGACTTTGGGCAGTGAAAAATGAGAGTTCTCCATGCCTAATCTGAGGCTGGAGCTGAGCCTGGGGGTGTAGGTGGATGGGGGCTACTTGCCTTTGGGCTGGGCAGGAAGAACAGGTACAGCTCAGGATTCTGTCTTGAAGAGTGTGCTCCCTACCCCAGAGGCTCTGATTGCTATGCTGGTGTTATTCCCAGGGGGCCGTCTGGGGGTACTCTGGTATTGGGGTGGCAGTCTCGGCACCCAGGGCTGGTACCCAAACTGTTCTTGGCTGTTGGCCGCCCTTCTCCTGGAGACTGACTGTCGGAGGGCAGTCCGGGAGGGAGAGAAGGAACAGACGCTGGGTGTCAGTGGACCCTTCACTGCTCACCTGCGAGTCTGAAGTTGATGTGGAGGGGGCAGAGGGCCTTACCATTCCTTACCATTCCTGTAAATCACATTTATGTGTGCAAAGCTCAGAAAGAAGTGTAAGAAACTTTCAGGCATTTGCAGAAAAAATCCCCTTTATCCCTATCTAGTACAGTAGCTGGACTAGCCATCCATTACAGGAATCTCTGGTTGGTCAGCGATCAGGACCCCTGGTTGGCCAGCACTCCCACCAATCAGAACTCCTGGTTAGCTGTGATTCCACCAATCAACAGCTGGTTAGCCGGCTTTCGCCAATCAGAACCCCTGATGAGTCAACATTCCACCAATCAGAAACCTTGGTTAGTCCACATTCTATTAAAGAAACTATCAGCTGGTACTTGCAGGGCTATTTCGGTGAGTTATCCGTTAGGGTCTTGGTGGCAGTCCCTCACGAGGAACTGCAGCTTTGGGGTGAAGTCTGTTTTCTGGGACTTGAGTGCACATTAGGTTCCCCAGCAGCTGGTTCCTGAACCAGGAGGCTGGGTGGATGGACTTGGTGGCAAAGGGGACAGAACGGATGGAACATTGGGAAGAACCAAGATGAGCAGGCTCTGCTCCTTGCCTGGGTCCTTCACTCTCCTTTGGTGTCTCCAGTTCCCGGGCATCCTGGGGAGAAGGGAGGAGCGGAGGGTCTCCCAGGGCAGAGATTTTCATGGGCAGATGAGCTGGCTGGTTGGGGGAGGTGGGGCTGAACTCTGGTTTCTTTGGGGTTTGGGGGGCATAGGTGGGACTTGGGGGGGTAGTGGGGGCTGGGACGTGCAGGAGCTGCATTGCCTGCACCCTGCTCCTCCTGTCTTTCATGGTGGACTTGGGCAGGGCATTCTACTTCTGTGCCTGTTTGTTGGGAGGGGCAGGGACACTACCTGCTGAGGCCATACATGGGACTCTGGTAAGCAGCAGCCGCTTTGTGAGCCATCAGTGGAGGGTACCATGGTGGGGGGGGGAGCTGGGCTTTGGCATCTGCAGGTGCCTGTTGAGCCCTGGTCTGGCTGTCTGACCTTGGTGGCTTGGCTTCCTTTGGACATCTCTTCCCACCTCTTTTTTTAAGTAAGCTCTATACCCGACATGGGGCTTGAACTCACGACCCCAAGATCAAGAGTCATATGCTCTTCTGACTGAGCCAGCCAGGCTACCTACCCCACCTCTTCTTCTTCTTCTTCTCCCCACCACAGAGGGTCTGGAGGGCACAGCCAGACCAGGGAGCCTGGACTAGGTTCTAATGCCCCCCACAAAGGGCAGGCAAGCCCCTGCATATCAGGTCTCAGGCCTGCATCCTCTCCATTGTTCCGCCCAGATATCCCATCACCTCCACTGTAGGGGTGGGGAAACTGGAAGAAGGGAGGTGCCCCTGGCCCAGAAGTGGGGGGCCAGATGACTGGTAGTCTGCCTCTAAAGCCCTGTCCCTCCTCACTCTGAGCCCTGAGTCTTATCTGTGAAGAAAGGGTTGTGGGTCCCCTTTCTTTTTTTTTTTAAAGATTTTATTTATTTATTTGAGAGAGAGAGAACACCTTAGAGGGGATAGGGTCAGAGGACGAAGCAGACTCCCTGCCGAGCAGGAAGCCCGATGCGGGACTCGATCCAGGGACTCCAGGATCATGACCTGAGCCGAAGGCAGTCGCTCAACCAGCTGAGCCACCCAGGCGCCCTTTCTTTTTTTTTTTTGCAGGAAGCCCGATGCGGGACTCGATCCAGGGACTCCAGGATCATGACCTGAGCCGAAGGCAGTCGCTCAACCAGCTGAGCCACCCAGGCGCCCTGTTGGTCCCCTTTCGAACATCGACATTCTGGGTGCCGTGATGAAACTGCATCCTGAGGCAGGGGGCCCGGGGAGGCCTTGGAGGTGCTGGTGGAGGAGAGGGCTTGTCTGTGGACCCCCAGCCGAGGCTGACATGGACTACCTCTCTGTCAGGAGAGGAGGCGAAGGCCCAGGAAGGGGCAAGGGCAAGTCCAGGGTCCTGCAGGCCTGGAGTAGGACAGATGGCTTGGGCCAGGGGGCCAGGAAAGGCCTTGGATGTCTCCAGCTGTTGTAGACGTGTTCTCCTGGGTTTCTGAGCAAACTCCTTTCTGCCTGGGGACGGGCACGGGGGCTTGGGCACCTCTTTGAACCCAGGGCCCCCATCGATGGAATAAGGCTACCCGTAGTCCTTTTCCCTACTTCTCTAGAACCAGGGGTGTGAGCTCTCTTGGCCCAGGCCTGGACCAGGTCACCCCCGGGAGGGCCCCTCAGGAAGAAGCCAGGGCTGTGGCTTTGGGTGGGGCCGGTGGCCTCTTCTGGGAGCCCAGCATCTGGAAGCCATCAGGCCAGGGGCGGGGGGAGTTACAGGAGAGGGCCGGGAGAGGGGAAATGCCTCCTCCAGGCCACACACAGGCCCAGCCCTCGGGAGCGGTGGCGTTGGGCCCACAGGCCCCGCTGCTGCCTTTGCCTCCTGCCGATGCCGCTGGGCCCACAGCCTCCCCCCTTCCACTGGCTGTCTTCTCTCACCCCCCTAGCTGCTGCTCCTGTAAGATGCAGTCACGTAATTTGCAATACCATTTCGACTGCACGCTGAGAGCTTTGCTTGTCTGGCACTGGGTGGGCCTGCCTCTTGGGGTGCGTGGGCTTGGGGGAGAAGTGTCTCCAGGGGTGGTTGGTCTGATGTCCCCTTCTTGGAGGGAGTGGTACCTGTCTCGTTTTTGAAGTCTTAGCATGGGGTCTCTGGGGCCAGGCTGGGGCCTTGCAGATGAGTGTGTGGCTGGAGATACGGTTGTGGCAATGGGGAGGGAGGAGGGATCTCTTCGCTCAGTCCTCAAGCCTGCAGTCATGAAGGAGGGGGTCCAGGTATATAGCCAGGAGCTCAGAGGTGTCCCAGGGACAGGTGTCTGCAGTTAATTGTCTGGGACCATGGGCATCAGAATCACAGAGATTCTTGGTAGCCGTTCAGGCTTCTGAGCCCCACCCACACGGGCTGGGACCTGGGGCTTCACACTTACGGACACCCAGGCATCCCAGAGCATACTACTCCATCACCCTCCGGATCTGCTGCGGGTGTAGGCATCTGACAGGTCTGGCATCTTCTGCACTGGGAGGGATGAAAGTTACACTAGGGGCCCTCTGGAGGTGAATGGTAAAGACAGGGTCCCACCGGGGCAGGGTACGGAGGGCACCTAGCCTGAGCATGTCTTTATCCTCCCCTGCAGCCTTGCCAACATTCCACTGACCCCTGAGACTCAGCGGGACCAGGAGCGGCGGATTCGGCGGGAGATCGCCAACAGCAACGAGCGGAGGCGCATGCAGAGCATCAACGCGGGCTTCCAGTCCCTCAAGACCCTCATCCCCCACACAGATGGAGAGAAGCTCAGCAAGGTGGGCTAGGGCCCGGAAGGCTTCCTGGAGGAAGTGGTGGGCTTAGGTGGGGAGAAGAAAGTGAGCCTTGGCAGACCCTGCCCGCTGGGGTCCCTGACTTGTCCCTCCCGCCCTCAGGCAGCCATTCTCCAGCAGACGGCAGAGTACATCTTCTCCCTGGAGCAGGAGAAGACCAGGCTTCTGCAGCAGAACACACAGCTCAAGCGCTTTATCCAGGTAGCACCCTGTGGAGGCCTCCTGCTGCCTCAGTGCCTTGCCCTCTTCCTGGCTCCCTTTCCCTTGTTTGGCCTGTCCCGGCTCACCATGGCCTGGGACTCTGATCTGGTTGCAGGCTGCATCTTCCCCACTGACCTGCCTACTTCAGGCATTTCCCTTCCTGCCTGGGCCTCTGTTTACCTATCCGTCAAGTGCAGTGGGGTGGGCTCTGGAAGGAACCGGGTGATTTCTGGAAAGCAAGTCCATTCTGCTCCCTTTCTGGCCTTTGGCCGTTTGTTGGATTTGCAGAATGGGGCACACCTGGGCCTGACAGCCTTGGGGGGCTGAGAGGGAGTCCTCTGACCTGGTGGTGGTGCTGTTGGTAATATGGGGGTGTCAGAGCACACTCACTGGCCCCTTGGGGTCCCCAGGAGCTGAGCGGCTCATCCCCCAAGCGGCGGCGGGCAGAGGACAAGGACGAGGGCATCGGGTCGCCAGACATCTGGGAGGACGAGAAGGCGGAGGACCTGCGCCGGGAGATGATTGAGCTGAGGCAGCAACTGGACAAGGAGCGCTCGGTGCGCATGATGCTGGAGGAGCAGGTGAGGCTGCTGGGTTGAGCAGTTATTTACAGGCGCACCTGCTTTGTGCCAGGCCTGAGAGTGAGGGACCCAGCCGGGAGCAAAGCAGACGGCTCCCTTTCTTCGGGGTCACTGTCTGCATGGGGTGGGGGAACATTAGAGGATCTCACACTGTAAAAACACAGCTGTGGGGTGTCTCGGGGGCTCAGTCAGTTAAGCCTCTGCCTTCGGCTCAGGTCACGATCCCAGGGTCCTGGGATCCATCCCCACGTCTTGCTCGCTGCTCAGCGGGGAGTCTGCTTGTCCCTCTCCCTCTGTCCCATCCCCCTTCCCCCCCTTGTCTGCGCATGCATGTGCTCTCGCTCTTTCTTAAATAAATAAATAACATCTTAAAAAAAAAAAAAAAACACAGCTGTAATAAAGGCCACATGCCAGTGGTGGGCACTGGGGAACCAGGGAGGCTGCCCTACGGCTTCTCCGTGGAAGTGACTTGAGCTGAGGTTGGGAGGTCAAGTCTCGAAGTTAACAGTGCAGAGAGGCGAGAAGGGTGCTCTGCACAGAGCAGCTTGGGCAGGGGCCTGGAGGTGGGAGGGAGCACGGCATGAGGGAGGCCGTGGCAGGAGAGGAGGTGAGTCACGGCGAGCCCGGCAGGCTGCTCTAAGGACTTTGGTCTCTACCCCGAGGGTGGACAAGCTCCATGCTAGGGTTTGCAGCAGGAGCGAATGGTCTCTTGGCGAAGGACAGAGCTTGGGGAGGCTGACCTCAGCAGTCCTGAGGGCCCTGCTCGCGGTGGGGGGGGCGCCGGGGTGTGGTCCGAGCCCTGCCCCGAACCTATTGTCCTGCCCCCAGGTGCGCTCGCTGGAGGCCCACATGTATCCGGAAAAGCTCAAGGTGATCGCACAGCAGGTGCAGCTGCAGCAGCAGCAGGAGCAGGTGCGGCTGCTGCACCAGGAGAAACTGGAGCGGGAGCAGCAGCACCTGCGGACCCAGGTGAGCAGGAGGTGCCGGGAGGGGCTTTTACCTGCAGCATCAGTGCCTCTGGGCCCCGGCGGGTCAGACTCAGGACCTAAGGTTACTGGCTCCCAGGTGTCCTGCATGTGTTATTACGTTGAAGCCTTGTAACCGCCCTTTGAGGCCTGAGCTCTTCCCATTTTACTGATGGCAAAATTGAGGCGCGGAAAGGTTACATTATATGCCCACTCGTGATCCTCAATGACATGGCCGTCGAAATCCAGAGTCCACACTCTTGACAAACAGTGTATTTTTTTTTTTAAGATTTATTTACTTAAAAAAATTTTTTTGAAGATTTTATTTATTTATTTGACAGAGAGAGAAATAGCGAGAGCAGGAACACAAGCAGGGGGAGTGGGAGAGGGAGAAGCAGGCTTCCCGCCGAGCAGGGAGCCCGACGTGCGGCTCGATCCCAGGAGCCTGGGATCATGACCCGAGCCGAAGTCACATGCTTAACGACTGAGCCACCCAGGCGCCCCTACTTTTAATAAATTTTTTATTTACTTATTTTAGAGAGCGAGAGCAAGCACGAGTGGGGGGAGGGGCAGAGGGAGCAGGAGAGAGACTCTGAAGCAGACTCCCTGCTGAGTGAGGAGCCTGATGCGGGGGCTCGATCTCACAACCCCGAGATCGTGACCTAAGCCGAAATCAAGAGTCGGATGCTTAACCGACTGAGCCACCCAGGCACCCCACAACCACTGGATTTATTAGCTATTGAAGTGCTTGCTTGGTGCTGGAGAGTGAAGGGGCCATGGGATCTCAGATGGCTGAGAAGGCCCTCTCTGGACCAACCTTTCCCTCATTTTTAAAATAAGAGGGGTGGAGCACAACCTGGCTGGCCCTCTGTGAGTGAAGGAGTTTAAGGGCTGGGGTGGTTGGCAGAGGCTCTCTCGAAGTAGATGGTTTCGAGGGCCATCCCTCTGTGAGCGACAGAAGGACAGAAGGGAAGGGGCAGCTCCTAGAACCTTTGGAAAAAGACTGAGGGCCTCTGTCTTGCAGCTTCTGCCCCCTCCGGCTCCCACCCACCACCCCACAGTGATCGTGCCGGCACCACCCCCTCCCTCCCACCACATCAACGTTGTCACCATGGGCCCCTCCTCGGTCATCAACTCTGTTTCCACGTCCCGGCAAAACCTGGACACCATCGTGCAGGTACCTGGGCTTGGGGACGGGGCATCATGTGGGAACGGGCCCTTTGTGTCCATTCCCGCGTCTCCCTTTCTGTGTCTGTGGTGGGAGGTGGCTCTGGAGAAGGTTTAGGGCAGAGAATGGGCAGGGGACAGCATGGCCTGGAAGACCCCGTTCCTTCCCTCTATGGGATTTGCCGAGAGGGCTCTTTGCTCCCTGAGCCCCCTGTGGTCAAGTTCCTGCATCCAGCTCTTGGGTTGGTCCAGAGCTTCCTCTCAGCTCCATCTCCCAGGACCCGGGGCGGGTTGCCGATGGCAGTGGCTGGCTGGGGGACAGTTAAGCCTCCTGCACAGGAGGAAGAAACAAGATGATCGATCAGCTCCGTGGGTCAGGCCCGAAGTCTCTGCTGGGCCCAGCTTTGCATGGCCCCCCTTGGGAGACACAACAGCATCACAAAAAGAAAGAACTAAACAAAAAAACCCCATCAACCCCTGCAACTGTAGTTGCACATAAACCCAGCAAATTGACTAATAAAGTTAATAACAGAGACCTTGCATAAGTGAACAGGCACTTTGAAATATATAAATGAGGGATGCTTGTGACTCCCAGGCGACTCTGCACTGTGATCCCCTAGGAGTTTTTCGGCTTAGCCGAGGCATTCTGATCGCTGGGCAGGCCGACTGCTGTCTTGCTAGGCTTCCTTGTGGGCCTTTCGGGGGGGGGGGTGTGTGTGTGCGTGTCCCCGGCCGCCCTCATCACAGCCTGGCCCCCCCCAGGCGATCCAGCACATCGAGGGCACCCAGGAAAGGCGGGAGCAGGAGGAGGAGCAGCGGCGAGCGGTCATCGTGAAGCCGGGCCGCAGCCTCCCTGAGGCCCACGCCTCTGACACTGCCTCCGATTCGGAGGCCTCGGACAGCGACGCCATGGACCAGAGCCGGGAGGAGCCAGCGGGGAACGGGGGGCTTCCCTGACCACCCCCCAGCCCTCCTTTCCCTTCTTGGGGCTGGAGGGGGCCGGTGGGGCAGCAACAGGGAGCAACGCAGGTGAACGAGTGAGGAATTTTTACAAAATTACGACGTCATTTGGGTCTCTTTTATGACCTCTTTTTCAATACTGTAAATCCACCTTGGAGCGAAGCCACCTGACCTGAGGTCCCGGGGGCTGGGGTGGCAGGAGCGTGTGGGAGCACCGGGACACCTGGGGCTGGGCCTCGCCCCGGAGGCCGGGGGAAGCTGACACAGGTGCCTGGCCTCTCTCCGCCAAAAAGCATTTTTTCATTTAAACATGTTTTTAAGAACAGGGAAAATCAAACAAAACCCCAAGGTATTCTGCCCTCCCCAGAGCCAGCCCTAGATGGTCAGTTTTTGACTCCTTCCCTCCTCTTTTTGGTTTTTTTCCTTTCTCCTTTAAGCACTTACATGGGTTGGGGGTCTGGCTGGGTCGGGGCTCTCCGGGGGTCCGGGGGTCTACAATGCTTCTCGGTTGGGGTTTGCTGCTGCCCTTCTCCCCTCCCCTCCTGGCCTCGGCTCAGCACGAGGATTCGCCACTCCCCACCACCACCCAGCCCCATCTCTCCCTCCAGGTTTCCCATCTTCCACCCCAAAAATGTCTTTGTCTCTCTCTTTTTGTTTTGTTTGTTGTTGGTTCTTTTTGGTTTTGGTTTTGTTTATCTTTTCTGTTTTTTGTTTCTTGTTTTTTGTTTTTGTTTTTTTGTTTTTTTTTTTTTTACAATTTTGAGGTCTTTGTGTTCAAGGAGAAGCTATTATATTTTGTTAAGAAAGTGGGGGGAAAAAAACCAAGAGGCCACCGTGCCTTTATAAAGAAACAAAATAAAGTTTGTACTTTGTTTTTTAGATTCTGTGTCTCCTGGGTGTGTGCTGTCCTGAGGGGCTGGGGAAGGCTTTCTGGACTAGAGTATGGGGTGCTCTTGGGGCCCTCCAGAGGGGACTGGGTGTAGCTGAGCACGATGACTTCCCCCAGCTTGAGTGTCATGTTGCAATGAGCAGTCAGGGTCCCCAGACTCCCTGGGATTACTCCCTCAATCGTGCAAAGAGGGGAGATAGTGTTGGGGTGGGAGGAGTGTCTCCCAACTTGGTGGGAGGCAAGGAGAGAATGAACCACCAAGAAACAGGTTCCTATCTCTTAGAGAAAGGACACAGGATGTTCAGGGGTCCTGGTTGTCACTAGGCTTTGCCACTTCCTCATCTTGTGTAACCTCCCTGAACCTCAGTCTCCCCAGCTACAGAAGGGAAGGGAGTATTACCTCCTGGTGTAGTGGTAAAGAGATAAGGTCCTGGAGTCTGTCTGCCAGCAGTCAGTTCCTCCTTGGGTGCGCCCGTTGATCTCTGAGCATCAGTTTCGTCATCTGAAGTTGAAAGTCAGTGGCACAAGGGCATTTCGTCTTACTGGGTAGGGAGGTGGACCTTTAACTCTCTAATCCTTCATGGGCAGAGACAGCTTTACAGTGTTCCCCTTGGGATGCCTGGGTGGCGCAGTCAGTTGAGCGTCTGACTCTGGGTTTCATTGTCTCAGGTCGTGATCTCAGGGTCGTGAGATCGAGCCCTCCATTGGGCTCTACGCACAGTGTGGAGTCCGCTTGGGACACTCTCTCCCTCTGCCCCTCCCCCTGCACATGCGCTCTCTCTTCTCAAATAGGTAAATAAATCTGAAAAAAAAAAACAAAAAAACAAACAAACCAAAAAACCCCCAAAGTGTTCCCTTTCTCCTGCTTTTCCTCATGCACACATTGTGATAGGTACATGGGCACTGAGGCCAGAGCAGAATGGCCAATTCACATCTCACCCCACGAGCTTTTTTTTTTTTTAAAGATTTTATTTATTTATTTGACACAGAGAGAGAAAGCACAAGTAGGCAGGCAGAGAGGGAGAAACAGGCTCTCCACCGAGCAGGGAGCTGGACGTGGGGCTCGATCCCAGGACCCAGGGATCATGACCCGAGCCGAAGGCAGCCACTTAACCGACTGAGCCACCCAGGTGCCCCTCACCCCACGAGCTTGTTGAATAGAAAGGCAGGCAGGAGCCTGAACGTTTTTTTTTTTAGAACTTAATTTTTTTTAGATGAAATTTACATAACTTAAAATTAAGTATTTTCCAGTGAACCATTCAGAGGCACTTAACTATATTCACATTGTTGTGTAACCACCACCTCTATACACTTCCAAAACCTTTCTATCACTCCAAATGAACTCCTTACCCCCTAATCTCCCCATTCTTCCCTCCTCCCAGCCCTTGGCAAACACCAATCTGCTTTCTGCTCACGTATTTGTTTTTTAAAGATTTTATTTATTTATTTGACAGAGAGAGACAGCAAGAGAGGGAGCACAAGCAGGGGGAGTGGGAGAGGGAGAAGCAGGCTTCCCGCCCAGCAGGGAGCCTGATGCGGGGCTCTATCCCAGGACTCTGGGATCATGACCTGAGCGGAAAGCAAACGCTTAACTGTTTGGAGCCACCCAGGTGCCCCTGCTCGGGTTTTTAAAAATGAAAGGGTTTTAGTGTTTTAAAAATGAAAGTATAATTTACATTTGGTAAAATTCACACTTTTTAGTTTTTGGTTGTGTGAGTTTTAACAAATGCATACAGTTGTGTAACCATCACCACAGTCCTCATCCTCATTGTTTTCACTGTCCCTTTGTAGTCCAGACGCTAGCAACCACACTGATCTGTTCCTATAGTTTTGCCTTTTCCAAAATGTCATATAAATGGAATCATACCATGTTTAGCCTCTTGACTCTAGCTAGCTTCTTTAACTTAGCATTATAACAGATTTTCCTTTCTTGGGTCTATCTAGCTAAATTTACTCAATGACATTAAAATGCGTGTCTGAGGGGAGGGGCTTCACTAGGATCTGGATGAGGAGACCCCTTCCCAAAGCCAGCGGAGCGACCCTTTTCAGCCAAGTGCAAAGCGCACTGGACGGGTTCCATGCGGCTCCTAAGAGCATCAATAGAGGGCGCTGTGAGCCCAGGACGCCAGGCCCAGTGAGGGCGGAGGCTCCGCCTCTTTCCGGTGCCCGCGGGACTGCTCAGTTCCTATAGGCCAGAGGAGGAACTTGGGGGCGGGGTCGGAAAGTCCCCTCCTCCGACTCTCAGTGGCGCGCCTGGCGACAGCAGGCGGTCTCCCCAGCAGGCGGCGGAAGTCAAGGGCGAGGACGCGGCCCCGCCCCTTCCCAGACTCGCCCCCCCACCCTCCCGCCCCCTGGGCGCGCATGCTCCTTGGCGCCTCAGGCAGCCTTGCGCGCGCTCCCGCCAGCCCGTTCCTCTGGCCCCACCCCCGGTCTCGCCCCCGCCCGCTCTCACGCACGCCTCGCACGCAAACGCCGCAAACATGCGGCTTCCGTGTGTTCCCCGCGCGGAGGCGCTCGCTTACTTCCTCCAGCGCCCGCCGAGCCTGGGCCTCGCCCTGGGGTCTAGTGCTGTAGCCGGCGCGGTACGGCGGGAGTCTTAGATGGTTTAGTGGCCGCAGTGAAAGGAACAGGTGACGTTAATTTTAATGACGTGTTTAATTTTTTTTTTTTTATTTGAGAGAGAGAATGAGATAGACAGCATGAGAGGAGGGAGGTTCAGAGAGAGAAGCAGACTCCCTGCCGAGCAGGGAGCCCGATGCGGGACTCGATCCTGGGACTCCAGGATCATGACCTGAGCCGAAGGCAGTCGCTTAACCAACTGAGCCACCCAGGCACCCGACGTGTTTAGTTTTTAAGCCACAGCATCCGCAACAGTGTCATTTCAGAACAGGTGATGAATGTAAGAAACTACGCACGAAATACCTCATTCTTTTCTCCTTGCCATATTTGGGAACCTTGTCTGCCCTGGCCATACTTATGTGGGGACAGCCACGGGTGCAGGGTCAGCAGCCACACGTGGGGCAGCGACAGGGTCCAGGGTCAGCAGCCACGCGGGGGGTAGTGACAGGGCCCAGGGTCAACAGCCACGCAGGGGGTAGTGACAGGGTCCAGGGTCAGCAGCCACACAAGGGGTAGTGACAGGGCCCAGGGTCAGCAGCCATGCAGGGGGACAGTGACAGGGCCCAGGGTCAGGAGCCACATGGGGGGTAGTGACAGGGTCCAGGGCCAGCAGCCACATGGGGGGTAGTGACAGTGTCCAGGGTCAGGAGCCATGTGGGGCAGTGACAGCGTCCAGGGTCAGCAGCCACGTGGGGGGTAGTGACAGGGTCCAGGGTCAGCAGCCACACAAGGGGTAGTGACAGGGTCCAGGGTCAGGAGCCACGTGGGGGGCAGTGACAGGGTCCAGGGTCAGCAGCCACGTGGGGGGCAGTGACAGGGTCCAGGGTCAGCAGCCACGTGGGGGGTAGTGACAGGGTCCAGGGTCAGCAGCTACATGTACAGTGGCTCTGGTCCAGATGGCCATACCACCTGGGGGCCAGGCTTGGTGGTCTGGAAGGGCATGGTGTCCTACAGGCTTTGCATAGGCTGGCTTGGGAGGAGGAATAAGTGGAGAAGATGTGGGAATGGTATGGCATAGGACATCCAAGGCTGCTAAGAAGCTTGGACTTTATTTTTTGTGAGGGGGTGGGGGCGTAGGAGAGACAGGATCAAGGCAGTGTTCCACAAAACCTCTTTACTGAAGTATCACAGAATACACACTCAGAAGAGGAGCATAGCTTAAGTGTTTAGCTCCATGAATTTTCACAAACTCAATATACGCCCCTGTACCAAGCACCACAGCAGGGCTTCAAGTGGCTTATTTTTTTAAAACGTTAAAAAATTTTGTGGAAACAATTAGGTGTCCAGGGAGGTACTGTGCACCCCTTCACCCAGCCTCCCCAGTGTTAACATCTTGCATACCTCAAGTACAGCACCAGAACCAGATCATCATGACCATTGTGGTGCACCAGCCCTATTCAGTCACATTTTACCAGTTTTATGTGCTTTCGTTGTGTGTGTGTGTTGATGGACCGTTTTGCACCAGCGATGTATGAGTTGCTCTGCATCTTCACCGGCAATCATCATCGGAACATAATTGCATCTGTTCAACCTTTCTGGTGGGTGTAGAGTGGAATCTCACCACTGTTTTAATTTCTATCACCATGGACTAGTTTTGCCTATTTTAGATCGTCATACAAATCGTACAGTATTTATACTCTTACTATCTGGCTTCTTTTGCCCAACACAATGTTTATGGTTTTGTGTGTATCAGCAGTTTATTTATTTTTATGGCCAAGTATATTTCGTTGCGTGATATACCACAGTGGATTTAGCCGTTCACCTAGCCGTGGACATTTAGGTTGCTTGCAACTTATAGCTATCATGGATATAGTTTATTTTATTATTATTATTGTTTTTTGAGATTTTATTTATTTATTTGACAGAAAGAGACACAGTGAGAGAGGGAACAGAAGCAGGGGGAGTGGGAGAGGGAGAAGCAGGCTTCCCGCTGAGCAGGGAGCCCGATGCGGGGCTCGATCCCAGGATCCTGGGATCATGACCTGAGCTGAAGGTCGGTGCTTAATGACTGAGCCACCCAGGCACCCCTTATTACTGTTTTTTTTTTTTTTAAGTAGGCTCCACGCCCAGCATGGAGCCCAACACGGGGCTTAAATTCATGACCTGAGGTTAAGATCAAGAGTAGGATGCTTGTGGTGCCTGGGTAGCTCAGTCTGTTAAGCGTCTGCCTTTGGCTTGGGTCCTGATCCCAGGGTCCTGGGAGGTCTGCTCAGCGGACAGCCTGCTTCTCCCTCTGCTGATCCCCCTGCTTGTGCTCTTTCACCCTCTCTCTCTCAAATAAATGAATAAATCTTAAAAAAAAAAAAAGTAGGATGCTTAACTGAGCCACCGAGGTGCCCCTATCATGAATATCATGAATATATTTTAGTAGATACTGTCCCCCCAAATAGATTGTGCCAGTTTACCCTTCTACTGTCATGTGTGTGAGGAGGTAAAGAGGCAGTGGAGGAGAAAATACATCCCCAACATGTACCATTGACCCTCTTTGTGTTCTTTGGGAGGGGACTGGGCATTCTTGGTTCCTGGTGGCCTCCCTTGGCCTATTTTAAGGGTCTCTGTTAGGGATAAACCTCATGGAAATGTATGTGTGCTGATGTTCTCAAGGATCATTAAGTTACACCGCATCCTCCTTACAAAGAAGATCCTCGGAAGAAATTCCTGTGGAGTCTCAGTAGCAGAAACAATTTCATTCCTCCCGAGCAGTTGGTTTGTTCTTATTTTAAGGACACTGTGAATTGGCGAGTGATCGAGTTACACACATGTGAGGTCCTTACGCGCGAAGTGCCGGTTGGTTTGTGTCAGCCTTACGAATGGCTCCATTTTGTGTGCCGGCCTTGGTGTGGTTTTCTTGTACTCTAACTTTCAGTTCTTGCTTTCTTGCTATACTTTATGAGTACTCAGGAGCCATCTTCACGCTTTTCTGGCACAGGGTGGGTTATCATAAATAAATGCCGCGTCTGCCATGATTTGGGTCGTGTTTGCCCAGCTCTGCGATGTTTGAGGGGTTGTCTGGCAGAAGTGGGAGCCTTCCTGAGACCTCAGCCTCCTTAGCCATTGATGAGCTGGCTTCAGAATGGCTTGAGACAAGTATGTACAGCACAAGGAAATCCTCCAGCTGCCTTTGGAGCCCGCTGGCCGGGCATCCTTCGCCTCAGACCCTGTTGGCTCTGGTTCCATCCTGTCCCACCCGAGCCTTTCCGACTGTCCCTTCTTTATCCAGTTGCCTCTCTGCTTTTCTGGGTGCCACTGTGCTGTGCCACTTGCCTTTTTCATTCTCTCGAGTTCTGCTTGCCCTCCGTTGCCCTGCAAGTCCTGGGCTAGGCGTGGAGTCAGTACCACCCCCTGTCCCCTCTCTTCTCTGGCCCTGCCAGGTTGCAGGTTTCTGGTGTTGATGGACAGGAGCGCATGCTGACCGAGAGGAGGGGATAGGACTGGGGGCTGCAGGGCCTACATGTGGCAGCTGTAGAAAGGAATGCCCTCCCCAAACCCACTCTCCCCCCACCCCACCCCTGGTGTTGAAAAGGAGCGAGGAGTGACAGCTGCAGAATTTCCTGAATTAGGGAGCCTAAGTCACAGGCTCCCCACCCCACCCCCGGGGTGCGGCCGGTTCTGGTGGACAGCCTCTGGATCCAATTACAGAGGGAGCAGGAAAGCGACTAGAGAAGGCTGCACGTGCTGCACAGGTATCAGAGATCAGCTGGTCTGGCTCCCATTGCCTCCTGCCCTGCGGGAGATAAAGAGGAGGTTGGAAAACCGGAAGAGAGAATTGATGAAAATCTCCTGTTCCACTATCGGGAGAAGGAAGTGTCAGTGGGGTTGGGTAGGCCCTGGGGCTTAACGGAGTGTGGGGGGGGCGCTGCTTGTTTGAGATCAGGGAGGGGATCCTTGAGAGATCCAGCGGGAAGGTGAGGTGGCAGGTGGGGAGGTGACCCTGGAGCACTGTGGCTGGTTCTGGGCCTCATGTGGTATATTGGACAGGGCAGAACTAGCGCTCTCTGCTAGTGAGTTCCCTGCCAAAGGAGGTGTTCGGACAAGGCTGCACAGATACCACAGTTTTTGTGGAGGGGATTCCTGCCCTGGCTGGAGCTCTAACAGGGCTAGGTGAGGGCTCTCTAAGGATTATGACCTGAGGGGCGCCTGGGTGGCTCAGTTGGTTAAGCGTCCGACTCTTGGTTTTGGCTCAGGTCTGATCTCAGGGTCCTGAGATGGAGTTCCCTGTCGGGCTCTGTCTGCCCCTCCCCCAGTGCTCCCTATCTCTCTCTCTCAAATAAATAAATCTTAAAAAAAGAATTACGACCTGAGAGTTTATTTTCAATTGAGTCTAACTTCCTTTTTAATCTCTTGCTTTCCGAACAAAATGTCCTTTTTTGTTCTTTGATTTTTAAAAAAATTATGGTTAAAATTTACTGTTTTAATCATTTTTAATTTTTTTAAAAAGATTTTTTATTTATTTGACAGAGAGAGATATAGCAAGAGAGGGAACACAAGCAGCGGAGTGGGACAGGGAGAAGCAGGCTTCCCGTGGAGCTGGGAGCCCAATGCGGGGCTCGATCCCAGGACCCTGGGACCACGACCTGAACTGAAGGCAGACGCCCAACGACTGAGCCACCCAGGCACCCCAGTCATTTTTAATTTTTAATCCAATGGCATGAAGCACATTTGCAATGTTGTGTGATCATCACCACTGTCCTTCTCCAGAATGTTTCATTATTCCTTTTTTTAAGATTTTATTTATTTATTTGACAGAGAGAGAGAGAGATAGAGCAGAAGTAGGGGGAGCGGGAGAGGAAGAAGCAGACTTCCCACTGAGCAGGGAGCCCGATGCGGGGCTCGATCCCAGGACCCTGGGATCATGACCTGAGCTGAAGGCAGAGGCTTAACAGACTGAGCCACCCAGGCGCCCCTGTTTTCATTATTCTAAGTAGAAACTCTACCCATGAAACTCTAACTCCTCTGCCCCCTTCCCTCCACCCATGGCACTCACCATTCTACTTTCTGTCTCTGACTTTTCTGGGTACCTCATGTAAGCGCAGTCACTGCCACACACAGACAGATATCTGTCTCTTATGGGCTCAATTGCGTCCTCTCAAAATTCATGTTGAAGTCCTAACTTCTAGAATCTCAGAATGTGCCTGTGCTTGGTTATGGGGTCTTTACTGAGGTCACTGAGGTAAAATGAGGTCATATGGGTGGGCATTAACCTAATACGATTGGTGTCCGTACAAGAAGAGGAGATTAGGACACAGACAACACAGACCAGGAGATGACCACGTGAGGGAACAGTGAGGAAAGGGGGCCATCTACAAGCCAAGGAGATAGGCCTCAGAAGAAACCAGCCCTGCTCGTACCTTGATCTCAGACTTCCAGAATGGTGAGAAATCAATGTCTGTGGTTTAAGACACATGGTCTGTGGTTTGTCATGGTGGCCCCAGCAAACGAGTGCATTGTGCTTCTGTGACTGGTTTATTTCATTTAGCATTAACATTTCGAAGGCTCATCCGTGTTGCAGCATGTATTAAAATTCCATTTTTTATGCCTCAATAATATCCCATTGTATGAATAGGCCACACTTGGTTCCTCTGCTCATCTGCTGATGGGCACCTGGGTTGTTTCCAGCTTTTAGCTCTTGTTTATTGTGCCGCTGTGAACATGGTCGTGCAAGGACCTGTTTGAGCCCAGAGGGGGCATCTTGTTTTTTTTTCTTTTATTTATTTATTTATTTATTTATTTTTTTAAAGATTTTATTTATTTATTTGAGACAGAGAGAATGAGAGAGAGAGAGCACATGAGAGGGGGAAGGGTTAGAGGCAGAAGCAGACTCCCCGCTGAGCAGGGAGCCCGATGCGGGACTCGATCCCGGGACTCCAGAATCATGACCTGAGCCGAAGGCAGTCGCTTAACCAACTGAGCCACCCAGGCGCCCTCTTTTAAAGATTTATTTATTGGGGCACCTGGGTGGCTCAGTTGGTTAAGTGTCTGCCTTCAGCTTGGGTCATGATACCAAGGTCCTGGGATTGAGTCCTGTGTCGGGCTTCCTGCTTGGCGGGGAGCCTGATTCTTCTTCCTCTGCTGCTCCTCCTGCTTGTGCTCTCTTTCTCTCTCTCTCAAATAAATCAATAAAATCTTTCAAAAAAATAATAAGGATTTATTTATGGGGCGAGGGGCAGAGGGAAAGAGAGAGGGAGAATCTTAAGCAGACTCCCCACGCTGGGCTCGATTCCATGACCCTGAGATCAGGAGCTGAGCCAAAATCAAGGGTCTCATGCCTGACTGAGCTACCCAGGCACCCTCAGATGGGGCATCTTTAAATCACATGCAGTTAGCCCTTTAAACGGTGCTGGGTTCACACTTTCCCCTTCTGCCTATTTTGGGTTCTGGTGTCTTTCTCTGGCCCTTTAGCCTGCGCCTTTCCCTATTCTTCCACACAGCCCTCCACACCCTTTCCCTGACATGCCAATTCCTCTCTTCCCCTGACGGTGTTCACTTGGATTGATGGGAGCAGTCACGGTTTTGTGAGTCAGGTACATCCGGGTTCAAATTCAGATTGCTCCGCTCCTATGTGGTGGTGTTGAACAAGTTACCACAGCAGTCGGAGCCTTGGCCTCCTCACTGTGAATGGTGGTGGCATGCCCACCTCTCCTGACACGTGAAGCACCTGGCCCGGCGTGGGCGTGTCATTGACTTTGACTTCCTTTTCTGTCCCAGGACCAAGTGCTGCCTCCAACCCCTCATGGCGAGCCCTTCCCCCCAGCCATGAACATGGATGGAAGACTCAGTATTGGTGTATTAGTCAGGTTCTCCAGAGAAACAGAGACAATAGGATATCTGTTTATAGAGAGAGGTTGTGGGGACCAGAAAGTCAGAAATCCACAGGGGAAGCTGGTGGCCAGAAATTCTGGCAAGAGTGATTGTTGCAGTCTTGAGTCAGAAAGTAGTCAGAGGCAACGTTCCTTCCTCCTCTGGGATTGGGGGAGTGAGCATAGCCTTTACTCTTAAGGCCTTCAACTGATGGGATGAGGCCCACCCACATTATGGAGGGTGATCTGCTTGACTCAGAGTCTATAGATTAAATGTGATGCCCATGTAAAAAATAACTGCACAGTAACATTCAGACTGATATTTACCAAACAACTGGGCACCATAACCTAGCCAAGTTAACACATTAAATTAACCATTGTAGTTGGTAACTCCCCAGCTTTCTTCAGACTGGTCTATAGATTGATTGTAATTCCAATTAAAATCCAAGAAGGCCTTTAAAGAGCAATTTATAGGCTGATTCCAAAATTCATGCAGATGTGTAAAGGAACTAAAATAGCCCAAACAATTTTTTTAAGTTTATTTATGTATAATCTCTATACCCAATGTGGGTCTCGAACTCATGACCCTGAGATCAAGCATCACATGCTCTTCTGACTGAGCCAGCCAGACAACTTCAAAACAACTTTTTTTCTCTTTTTGGTGGGGGAGGGGAGAAGAGAGAAGGAGAGAGAGAATCCTAAGCAGGCTCCATGCCCAGCACAGAGCCTGACATGGGGCTTGATCTCATGACTCTGAGATCATGACCTTAACCGAAATTAAGAGTTGGACACTTAACCGACTGAGTCACTCAGGCACCAACCCCCCCAAAAAAACAACTTTTAAAAGAAGATCAAAGTTGGAGGATTCACACTATGTGATTTCAAGACTAATTAGGAAACCACAGTGGAAGGACGGACACATAGACCAACAGAAAGAATACAGTTCAGAAGTAGCTTTACACACATATGGTCAATTGATTTTCAGTAAAAGGTGCAAAGGCAGTTGAGTGGAGGAAGGATAGTCTCTTCAACAAATGCTGGCACAGCTGGCTATCCACATGTGAAAATCTAAACTTTGGTTTATACCTTGCAACATATTAAAAATTACACAAAATGGATCATAGATCTAAATGTAAAACCTAAATTATTGCACTTCTAGGAGAAAACAGGAAAACATCTTGGGCATCTTGGGTTAGGCGAAGAGTTCTTTGGATTTGATAAAAATTATGAACTTCTGCTCTTTGAAAGGCACTTCAGTGCATGAAGACAAGCCACCGATGGTGAGAATATTTACAAAGTACGTATCTGAGGAAGGGCTTGTATTCAGTGTATGTAAAAAAAACTATCAACACTGAAAAGGAGAAACCAACCCATAAAAAATAGGCGAAAGATTTGAACTAGTGCTTCACCAAAGACACACGAAAGAAGCGGATGACAAATACACACATGGAAACATGCTTAATATCCCTGGTCAGCAGGAAAATGCAGACTGAAACTACAATAAGATACCACAACATACCTACAAGAATGACTAAAACCTGGAAGACTGACTATACCAAGGATTGGCAAGGATGTGGAGGGACTGGTGGTGGGAATGTAAAATGGCGCAGTCATCTTAGAAAAAAATTAAACAGTCCCCCACCATGCGATCCAGCCCCTCCCCTCCTGGGTATTTATCCAAGAGAAGGGAAAGTGAAGGTGTATAAGTTGCATTGTGTACGAATGTTCACGAAGTTGGAAACAATCCAGATGTCTCTCAAGAGGAGAATGGATGGCAAATTGTGCTCAGTCCTTACAGTGGAATACTCTTGAGAATAAAAAGGAATTGAGCTATCAATACATAACTGCAACGTGAATAGATCTCAAAATAATTATGCCGAGTGAAAGAAGCCATTTAAAAAAAGAACACATACGATGAGATTCCATTTGTATCCAAATCTGGGAAATGCAAAATAATGTGTAGTGACAGAAAGCAGCTCTGTGCTGGTTGCCGGGGAAGGGGGTGGGCAGAAGGGACTAGGAAGGGACATGAGGAAAATTTAGGAGAGGAATCTGTTATGTTAATTGTGCTTCTATGCGTACGTCAAAATGTATCAGATGTGAATAGCATTCTGTGCTGCATGTGGATTATACCTCAGTAAAGCTGTGTTAATGTAAAGCCCATAGAAGAACGGCCAACTGACTTCAGCTCTTTTCCTCAATGGCCGACCGCTGCCCTCACAGTGGCACCCTCCCCCCGGCCAGACCAGCCAGTGTCTGCTGTTCCTCAGCTTCATAGAACTGGCTCTTAGGGGCCATCACATGCCCTTGGTAAAATTACATTAAATAGCACGTTGCAGACATGATGGAAGGTTCTGGAACCCCCCCCGTCACTGGAAATGGATCTCTGTCCACTGGCTTACATCACAGCATGGGACATGACTCCTAGCTCTCCCTTTCTCGCTCCTGTCAGCGTTCTGTATCTTCCGGAGGCCTGAGAAGGTTAAGCTCCTAGCCATCGACCTCAGAGGTCAGATGTCGCAGCTTCCTTTTAACCGGCCATTGTGTCTTCACCTTCCTGACCTTTGGGGAGGGGCCGGGATGTCGGTAGGTGGCTATCACATAGAATCTCTCTGGCTTTGCTCTTCAGCTCCTTCATTCACAAAACCGAGGCATGTGAAGGTCAGTGACTTTGTCCCAGACTTCAGATCAAGTTAGCTCGGATACTGCGAAGGCTTGGGTTCCTAGCCCCTAGACCTAACCCAAGGGATGCCCCACGTTTTGTCCACCACCTCTGCCCTGTGACCCATGTCACATGACCCCAGGGCTGCTGGGGGGAGAGAATCCGGCAGGGCCGTGCCTTCTGGGGCCAGGCAGCTGGCCGGGCAGTGGCAGAGTGAGCCTCTGCACAGCCTGTCAGGGTCTGCGCTGCTTCTTCATCACGTCCACCCAGTTGCCCTAGTGACTGTGTGACCCTTCTCCCCCACCCTGCGCCGCCACCCGCCCTATAAATAGAGGCGAGGAGCAGCTGGGCTCTCTTGGCAGTCACCATGAGGACGCTGGTCCTGCTCTGCTGCTTTGTGGTGTCGCTCCTGCCCCCAGGACAAACAGGTATTATGACCCTCACCCCTGTCAGCCAGGCCAGACGGTGACCCCCACGTGCCCAGAGGTTTTATGTTTACTGCGGGGGGCGAGGGGGGAGGGAGGCCCGAGTGATAGATGGAGGATGAGGCCTCCTCTGTGGCTCCTGAAATTGACGGCAAACCTTGACTCCGGGCTGGTCTCATCATCGTCTCCATCCCCTTCTCCCTGGGGCCCAGGAGAAAACTGGGTCCAGAGACCCCAAGAGCAGTCAGGGGCTCCACCGGGAGGCCAGAGGAAGTGGGAGCCGTGGACTGAGAGGTGCGGGCAGGTGTGAGGCCTGAGCCAAGGGCCGGGAGCCAAGGGGCAGGTCTGGCCAGTAGATGCTGGGGAAGGGGACCCCGAAAGTTAAGACTAGGGGACCCTCCTAGACGGACAAAAGAACCCAGTCCTGGTGCTGGGGGGGCCCTGAAGTCTCAGTCATGTTGCCTTCCTACTTGGTGGAGATTGGGCAGGGGGCTGGCTTTGCATGATTGAGGACTGGGTGCAGTGGACAGAATTGGGGTTGTCTGGGGAACGGTGGGATAGAGGAGGTGGTCAGTTTGGTATGGGATTGGAGATGGAGTTGGGGATTGGGCACAGAGTTCAGGAGAGGAGTGGGATACTCCAGAGTATCCCTGAGCCAGGCTGGGGGCTTCATTGGAAGGGGGCGGGGGGCCTGTGTGCATGGATTTTCCTCTGGGATCTCAGCACTTTGTGTGGCAGAGGTGGAGGCTCAGGTTGCAGCATGCGAGTTATTTATAGGGATGGAGGGGACACCAGAGGGTTTGCCACCTCTCTCTTCCTGAGACTCCTGGGGCTGGGTCCCCCTGGAGGATGCTTCAGGGGTGATCTGGGGTGTCCCCAGGAATCTGGGTCTCCTGCTTTGTCTTGCCATGAGTTGGCAGTCTTCAGATGCACAGGGGACCATGGGGTCCAGAGCCCCAGCCTCTCCAACCTTCGAGGTTCTGTTTGTTGAGGTCCCAGCCCCTGCCACTCGAGCAGGTGGCAGGCAGAAGCAGAAGGTGTTCCCTTGGGGGGTTAGGGATCAAGGTGGGGGGCTCCGGCCTTGCATGTACCGCTGGGTCCTGCCCTTGTCTGCCCTTGAGTTAATTTGGGCCTTGCAGGGCTGCCGTGGCTGGAGCGGTGAGGATGCCAAGCGGCTGTCAGGTGGCTAAGTATGGAAACAGCAGTGTAATTGGATCCTGAGCTCCCCTTCACAGCCCTTGCCCTGTTCTGCCCAGCCCCAGCTGCCACCTCCCCTGCTTCCACACAGCCGGCCCAGGGACTTTTAGCCTTTTAGGGACATCCTTCATCTTTCCTCCCAACGAGGGAACTGGACATCTGGAATGTTCCACGGGTCTCACTGGGGGATCTTGCTGTGGGGAAAGGAGGCAGGCAGGCACTTTGTGTGAAGATCCTCTCTGTGCACGCTCTTTCCTTCCTGGACTCTGCAGTGTGCCCCTGGCCTGGCTTCCAGGGAGGCCTTGCTTACCACGTGCAGGGTGCCCTCTCTCCTCACTCCCGCTCACCACTTGCGCTCTGGGTTCTTCCCCGGGGGTGGATTTTATCACTTTTCCAGCTGTAGGTTACCCTAAAAGACAGCTCTCTCCTGCACCCACTGGGAGGTTCCAACCCTAAGGGTGGCTTCTCCCTGCCGCTATAATGACAGTCCTTCCTACTGGTTGATTTCCCCCTAGAATTGTGCCACTAAGTAAATGTCATCTTGCCCAAGGGCAGCAGCTTTGCTCCTGAACTTCCCACCCTACCCCTGGACGCTTGCCCCTCACTGCATCGCAGGTGGGCTTTCTCTAACCTACTTCCTGCTTCCTGGGGGGTGAAGCTGCCCTTCCTTCTTTGGTCCCCATGTTGCTTCTGTGGTCTCCTGGACCATGGCAGTCTCTTCTTGTTCCCAAGCAAGGGACCAAGGGCCTCTCCTGATGCTAGGAACAGCTGGAGCTGCCAGGGCCCGATCACCAGGCACCCCCCGAGTCTCCACCCCGCCATCCGTGGCCCCCAGGCACTTGTGACCACTGGGGTCCTCCTCTTTGTCTTGGGGACTTGGCCTGGTGACAGGCCTGCTCAAGGACAGGGGAAAGCAGCCTTGAGTTGCTTTACTGTGTCCCCTCATTGTTGAGGTAAGAGCAAAAGCCAGAGGCATGAGAGATGCACACAAGGTTGGGCAGTGAATTATGGACAGGCATGTGTAGCCCAGGGCCGTCTCCCCCCACCTCAGAGTTCCTGTCCTCCCCTCAGCCTCTCTCTCTCTGATGGCCACCTAACTCCCTCTGCCTTTGGAGAGGCTGCCTGTGGGGAGCTTTCCTCTGGATGCCTCTGATCCTTTGACTCCTCCGAGGGTGGGGTGGTGTGGGGAGTGGCCAGTGCTGAGGAAGCATTTGGGTTCAAGCCAGTGGTGTTTGTTAGGCTGGATTCGGGACATCTTTGCTTCCTGTTGCCTGCTTGATGCAGAGAGTGGGGCAGATGGAGATTCTGAGTCTGTTCATCCTTCTCCAGCCCAGCCCTGGTTTGCAGACTTGCAGCCTGCTCTGGCCTCCACCCTGCCATCCCAATGGGGAGAAGTTGGTGTACGCTGGGGCTGACCTGCCCCTCCATGAGAGATGAGGGTCTGTCCGGAACCCCTTTGTGGCCCCTCCTCACCCGCTCCAGGCTGGTTATCTCCAGAAAGATTCTGTATTCATGTTCCCTCAACAGGACAGCCCTCCTGCCATGACCCACCATGGGGAGGGCTACTGAGAGAAGGTCATGACCTCAGAGGTCTTGGGGAGAAAGCAGAAGCCTTGGCAGCCCCCCTGCAAACTGTGTCTCCAGTGATTTCCCTGACTCCTGGCTCAGTGCAGCTGGAGGAGCCCATAGGGAGCATCTCGTCTGCCACTTCCCACAACGAGTCTACAAAGCACTCACTGGGATTTGCCAATGGATGTACACACCTTGCTTGGTGGTCTGTGGAACCAGAGTTTGGGAAATGCTGGTTTTGTCCCACATCTGGGTGTGACAGTGAAAGTCACACAGCTAGTTCAAGGCAGGGCCAGAGCTGGAATTCAGGTCTCCTTGCTCCCGCAGAAGGAGGTCAGATGAGGCCAGCTGCATCCCCCTGGCCATTTGGTGCTCATTTAGGTGTGGTGGGCTGAGAAGGAGCCTAATCACTATGGACACAGGAGGAAGATGACTCTTCCTCTTTGGTAGGGTCCCAGGGCCAAGGGCAGGGTCTGGGTGCTGTACCTCCTGGCCTGGAATGAGGGTGTGGCGGGATGGTGGGCAGGTGTGGGGTCTGCTGCTGTGGGATGCTGGGCTAAGCTCTCTCCTGGACAGCTCCAAATCCAAATCCAGACCCGTTCCCTGCACAACCCCTTACATTTATATATTGCTTGAGTGCAAAGCCTTTCATTCAAACACCTCACCACATCTCACCATGTATTAATCATTCCAGATTTATGGCATACCTCCTATTGTTTAGGCGTGGTACTGGAGGGATCCAGACAGGCATTGTGTCCTTGGCATGCTTACCTCCAGTTTGGGAGATAGGGCGTCTCCCATCTTGTACCTGCACGCACACAAGCAGGACACGCGTGAGCGTCATGAGGGAGGTACAGGTGGAGTGAGGTGGGGTGGAAGCACCTGGAGAGATTATTTTTAACTGAGTGGATCAGGAAATGTTTTACAGATGAGGGGATATTTGAGATGGGCCTTGAAGAAGGTAGCAGTCAGCCATGGAACAATGGAAGGAAGAGAATTCCACACAAGGGACAGGATGAGTGAACTCATGCCATCAAGAAAGGTTAGGGCTCTGGCAAGAACTGAGCAGGAAGAAGGGCAGGCAGAGTGAAGTGGGGATTGTGGGGAAGCTACTTGGAAGGCTGGTTTGGGCCAACCGTGAAGGGCCTCGCGTACTTGGCTGCCGAGATGGCTTTGTGCTGTGGGTGGCGGGCAACCACTGAGGGCTTGGGAAGCATCCCTCCAGCAGGTGTTTGTGGGGAGGGGGAGGATGAGGGAGGCTGATTGGAGGACCCTGTCAGAAATGCAGGTTGGAAGGTGTGAACTCCATGTGAGAGTGGGGGGCAGAGAGGAGGGACAGACCCAGCAGATAGCTGGGATGGAGTCTACTGGTCTCCGGCCAAAGGGAGCCCTCACGGGTCTAGTGTAGGTCGCTGGAGACCTGATCTTGCCTCCAAGAAAGAAAAAAAAAAAAACCAGGAACATAAAAGAATAGATTTTAAAAGTTCAGTTTGGGTCGTTATGAATTTGGGGTGCTACGGGGACATTTGGATGGAGATACTGGATATTGGAGGATTGAAATTCAGGTCTGGAGATCCAGAGATGAGATCCAGTCAGGTGAAGATGAGGCTGTGAGGTCATGAAGGAAGTTGTTGCAGAGAGAGAAGAGATTCAGGGATGGTCACTGGGCAGCGCCAGATTCAAGTAATGGGACGAGGAAGATGAGTGGATTTCAGGAAGAGGGAAAGGAACCCTGGAAGAGACCGTGACCTGGAGGGCAAGGGAAGGGTGCATTCTGGAAGGGTGGTTGAAGGGATGGAATGCCACAGAGATGCCGAAGAAGATGAGGCGTCAGCTTTGATATCACTGAGGTCGCTGGCAGAGCACGAAGGCCTTATGTGCATCTAGGGAGGGCGCAGAGGTGAGACATTTGGGGCAGTGGGCTCAGGAGGGATAGAGGACATGGAGGAGTACATGGGTAGGGGGTTTGCAAAGGTAGCAAATTTCCTTTTCAACACTAGAAAGACTAAGTGTGTTTATGGGCCAATGGTGAGGGTCCTAGGAGAGAGAAGGACTGATGGACACAAGGTGGAGAGGAAGTGACCAAGATGTCAGACGTGTGGGGAGGGTGGGGCAGGTCTTAGGGGACACATGCCATGGCATCGTGGAGACCTCAGAGGGACACTGCACCTTCGAGGTAAACTCAGGAGCTGCGGTGCCAGTGAGGGAGCTCAAGTAGGGGGGAGGGTTCTCTGGCT